CAAATCTTGCCTCTAAGCCAATTTTGCATTTGTTCAACAGCGCGATTTGCTATCTTCAAACCATTCCAGATATACGGGCCTTGAGGTGTTCCAGCGACGCGGTCTTTATCTTCTTTCGCGGGTCTTTTCAGTTTTGGAAACAGGAAAAAATCGCAGGGGTCCAAGTCCGGTGAATGCGGTGGCTGAGGGGAGGAAACGAGATGAAGTGTGGGCTGACCCATTATTGCGATGTAATATCCACGACCGGTTGTTCCACAACTCCGGTCGTATCTATCGTATTCCTCCACGCAAAGGTCGCATAATTTCAAGGTTATATTCCTTATTGACTGTGCAACGTTTTGACAAAAACTCACGATCCCACCACCCCAATGAAATCGCCGAAACCATTATGCACAATTTTCACACTTGACCGAACTTGGTGTACTTTTTCCCGTTCTGCGATCAGTTGAACACTTCGAATTCATTCAGTAATTTGCCTTTGCCCTTACATCTGAAGCAGGTAGATGTTGCAAGTGAAATCTGAAACTCTTTCTTTCTTTTTTTTGAAACACAAAAGCAAACATATCCACATTGGAAAAGAAAGTCCACCAAAAAATCGCTGATTATTTCACTCATAAAATGTATATACTTTTATATAAAGAGTAATATAAGTCACAACGTAATTTTCATAATTCATTTTGTTGAAAAGCATTAACGAAAAAAAGAGACACAGAAGAAAAAATGCATATATAAGAATAAGAATACCTGAGTATACACAAAAGTATTTCGCTTCGCTTATACAAAAGAAAAAAACAATTAAGCCCAAATATGTATTATATATGTAAAGGAAAATGACATTATTGTTGATTATCGTATAGGAAACAACACTTCGTTTGGTTTTGGTAGCGATATATTTAATCAAAGCACAAATTCAAAACCCATACGCTAACGAGTAAAATCAACTGCTTTATCGTCTTGCCTTGGCTTGGTTGCCACACCGAAAAAGGCAGCATATATGTCTACCTATATGTTACTTAAATTCTCAAAATAAGAATAAAAACTGAGTCTAAACTAAACGATTCTTGTGACACAATTTCAAAGCAGTTTTTTTTTTTAATTCAATCAATTTGACTATTGATTGAATGATGTTTTCCATTCTCTCAATGATGATGAATAATGGAAGCACTACGGATATCCTTACCCTTTGTCACACTTACAAATTGCAGACAGTTTTTTATATATATCATGTACTCAATCACTGCAGGCCTTTAAGTTAGTTATAGGGCGCGTTATAGGGTAAAATTTTTTGAAAACAACAAAAACAATTCATAAATGATTAATAAAATGTATTCTTATTGAACAGTCAGAGACTGGATTCAAGAGATGATGACTCAAGGATGAAATACATTTATTTTAAGATGGTGGACGTTAGGATCGAACAAAGTTGAATGTGAAAGCAAAACAGTTAATAGTTAAATTTTTTATCTAAAATTTTTCTTTAAGGTTTTGAGTGCTGATAACGGTTATTGTACCTTACATCAGTTGTTGTGCAAGGAATATTAAGTTTGTGCGAATGTATGCGTAACTTCACATCACTTCTGTTATAAAGGATATTAAGTTTATGCGGATGTATACGGCACCCAGAAGAGCTTTAAATAGATTCAATTTTTATTACACTAATCAAGCTAAGCTTGTTGGTCGGTCTGTCCTTCTGTCTGCTACGGTTTCGTGTGTTCAACCTACAGATCGCATATTTTGAGATATTTTGATGATTAAACATTCAAGGACGAACACTAGTGAAAATGGCTCGGATTGGATCGATTTTTCGAGACGTTATGTAGACCACCCACTTAAACAGATCAAAATGGTAGCTTATGCTGTAAATGGCATCAGTACCGTCATTAAAATTCTACGGCACAGTAGCAAAGTTGATTTAGAACCACTGTCTTTTTCGTTGCTATAGTTAAATGAAGAGTGCAATGAAAAAAGGACGACCCGCTTTATTACATTTGCTGGACGTAAGTGCTCCAAGTTATCAAAAATTATTCTATTCTACTGTAATGTTGGATAATGCGAAAGTCAACTCAAAAATGTATTATTAAATTAATGTGTTCAGCTCACGCATTTGCAACGCCGTTAGCATTTATATATTTTATCGCACGGGACCCGTATCATTGTACATATTAGGAGGCAAACAAAAAAACGTTTATGTCTTTTTAGCTCTTTTTAATGCAAAATTATAATAATTAAGCTGGGACTCAACGATAAGATCTTACATATAAAATATGTATATTTTCTGTTTATAGTAATAAGGATACCTTTGGACAGTTACTTGCTATTATCCTTGTTTCGCTTTAGATTTAATTCAATTTTTCCTATTGTTCTGCCTGACCTTTTGTTCGAGTGCTCTTCTGCTCGCTACTGTTTGCGACAGTTGCGCAGTTATGTTTTGGGAATTTATACCCAATTATTTTATCTATATAGTCTTGGTTTGGGCGTACTTTTATAGTTTTTATATGAAATTTAATTATTTTATTTTACGCTCAATAAAGCCTTATTATATTGTCTGCTCATGGTAAATAAATGAGATGAAATTACAAACATTACTGTTCGTGTTATTTAATTACGTATATGCGGTGGATAAGCGTATGTACAAGTGATTTACGTCAACTATATAGATGAAGCGGTTTTATGGTCCTCTTGACACAACGCTCATCTGCATCGTTAACCAAACCTGTAATAATCGTAGAATTTCTGAGATCATATCTACCACAAAGCACAAAATAATAGCGTTTGTAAAACAAAATGGATTTAATGTTAGCGTAAGAAACAAGTGAATGACTGAAGTTCAGATTAACTATTTAATGAAATAGAATGATTTCTGCCCTTAACTGGTAACAACTTGACATTTTTATACTTTACAACACTTGTTGTTCATAGATATATTAATTTTATGCGGATATATCCAACATTTAGGAGGACGTGAGATTGACCCACCTTTTATTATGCCGAGCGATTCAGAATCAATTTTTGAATCGATCTAAGCTTGTCTGTCAGTCTGTCGTTCCTGTTTTCTTGTCTTAAATCGGTAAATTTATGTTTATCTTTGGACCAAGGACAACTTCTATTAAAAATGGTTCGGATCGCAGCACATTTTCGACCCATTTCGACTTATATAACGACTTATTTAAAAAGTCTCTATAAGGCTAACTGCATTAAGCGAAGTGGTGTGGGGTACTTATTAGTGTTTTTACTTGTTAGTGTAATAAGAACAAAAAGTCATAAATGATAAATATCCCACAATAGTGTTTTTCTTGTTAATGTTATGGAATAAAGAAAATCCCAACTCAGTAATAAGAACAAATTAGTCATAAATGATGAACGTGACTTGCCACGATAATCAGAACCACAGTAATGCTAACAATAAGAAATAATTTGCCTCTATACTCTAAAGTCTTCACTTTATGAAATAAATAGAGAATAAGTAGGAGTGTTGATGATTCAAGTGGAGTCGAAGCAATAACCAAAAAAGCAGGTTTTGGCAATACGTTTGATTTTTTTAATATTGGACGGTCAATGTATATTAATATTTATGTCAATTTTAAATGTCACTTATGTCGATTTTGATCAAATTTATGATCACCCTTAACCGAGGAAGGCTGCTTTATTGTATATTATTTATATCGTATATTTCTTAGAACATATAAAAAGCTGAAACGGGAAGATGCACACTCTATAGCCAGATTACCAGGGAAGTCTGCGGACTAGAAAAGTGAGGATTAGGGTTGCAAAGCATCATGTCTGGTGTCTTATCAATACTTTCTTTTTGATTGTTGGAAAATCTATGGTAGGATAGATCTTACCAGAAAACGCAGGAATGCCCAAATCTTCTGTCTACAAGCCTAGCGTTACATTTCCAGGCAGTGAAAACATCGTACCTGGTACGAATAATGTAGTATTTTATATAAGTGGAGATTGGTTTGATTAATGCTAATATGCTATCTGATGCTACAAATTTTGAAATACTCTTAGAACTCTTTTCAAATAAAACTAGGTCTGGTCTTAGTTAACGCTTTTCGAGAGAATTTCAAAAACAATACATTCAAAAAAGACCATATATGCACAAACGTGGGATTATTTTATCTGCTTCTTAGAAAAGTTCTTGTTAAACGAAATGACCAGTAGTATTCGTCTTGGTCCACCAGGGAACTTTTGTTTGGAAAAATTTTGTAGATCTACAAATGGAACGTTTAATCTACTTAGGGTTCTTTGTAAAAATTTGGACGACATTGTACAGCCTAGCATAAAATATAAGTTAATCTCCTTAGCGGACGTCCATTAAACATATTCTCAATAGTGATCATTGCCGATGACGTACCTAACTAATCATAATTAACATCACAAACTCGTGTATCTTCGTCAAAGGGTTTAGCTCATCAACAATGACAAGCTTTGGGACGTTTTCGTTGTCTTAGCGCGCATTCGCACTTCGACGTTCTTCTGTCAGTACTGCTGTGCAGTAGCCCTGTCTCCTACCTTCTCTGTTCGTTAATACTTTCAAATATATGGATGTTACGTTAGTTTTCTTCTTTCAACTTACTCTCATGTGATAAAGCAAACTTGCATCTAAACAATTAAGTTTTGTGTCGAAATATGATCATTCACTTAGCCGATGTCGTCGGTAGCGCGCTCATGCTCAGAAAGAAGTGAGGAAAGAGAAAGGGAAATAAGACAGTGGCGTCTAAACGGTAAGTGTGGTGCCTGCACCCGTTGAATGACTATATCTATCAAACTAAAATCAAACTTGGTAGACGCGATTCTTACCCACTCGTCTACTCATGCGGATAGAAAAATAATGATACAAATATAATATTGGAAATCACTTAAGATTCTAATATATTCGAAATCCATTTCATTTTGCCGATTATGAAATTGAACTTTAGTCCGTGCATTAATTCAAAAAGTTATAGTTAAACTTATCAGCTTTACATCGGATTTATTTTGCACATCTTTCTTTATAGATTATACCGTTAGCCTGCGTTTGATCGAAGTACGGATACCGAGTTATGTGGTTAAAGACTCAATGGCGCAGTTGGAGTGCCTTTACGACTTGGACGGTGAGGCCCTGTATTCAGTTAAATGGTACAAAGATGGTAATGAATTCTATCGATATGTACCCAAAGATATACCACCAGCGCAAACATTTCACTTACCAGGTATTACTGTCGATGTAAGTACTATCAAGATCTATTATATTACGTGTAGTAAAAATTGAAAATAAAAAACAATGGCAGTAAAAGTTGGAAAAATTTCTTCCCGACTATGTTGTTCTGCAAGAAATTTAGCCGAGTGTTGTGGATCAGGTGATACAATGGCAAACATATGCAAGCTTCATCTTTATAGAAATATTTTTGTTTCTTTCGTTTTTAAAGTATGAAATTATTCGCACTAATGTGGTGCGGCTGCTTTCGAAATTTAAATTTTTTTTTGCCTTCTTTCTTCTCTTATCCAAGGCGTCCATTAATATTTATCCACCAGTTGGCGGTTAAGTGCCGTAAATTTTCTCTTGTTTCTCTTTCACTTGTTATACTACGTGCAAAAAAAAAAGAAACAAAAAGGAAAAAATATTTCAAGATGCCCTTCACGTTGAAGCAGAACAACCTTTTCATACCTATTGCTCTGTTATCTAGTGTTGTGTTTTGTATTAGATAGACAGGCTAAAAGCATTACAACAAGTCTATGTATTTGCCGTTCTCATTATATGCAAAGTGTTTTACTAACTCAACTATTTTCTCATTTATCTTTTCAAGTAAAACATGTTCTTTTTATTGCTGCAAGTGTTTGCTTAGGATTTTCATGATTGTTTGCAGATTAAAATAAGCGGAAATTGGCTTTAGGTTTGTTTCCTTGCCTCTAGGGATTTTTAGCGACCTTTTTAATTTATAAAAAAAAACTTGATCTTGAAGGAGAAAAGAATGTTTAAAAAATATGTAATTAAAGCATTGGTAAAATTCATTATTAATGGCTTTCTCATAAAAGTGAAGAAACTTTCCTTACATAAATTTTGTAAGTTAAAATCATAAGATGGATAAAATTAATAATAAAAACCCCGTGAAAATGATCTATAAACCTCCCGTCTTTAATGAAACACGTGTTTCCATAAAAACAAGTAATATATTCAATTTACTACAAAGTGTTGTTGTATATTAGACGACAGACAAGCTCACGAAGCATTGCATTGCTTGTTAACTATGACGCAATGCCCTTTTTTGCTGATTGCAGGTCATAAAAAAAATTCCCTTATGATGAGGATATAATGCACATTAGCCGGCATCACTCAGAGGTACGTGAATCAGATTTAGTCTTTTCTTCACGAATCGATTTAGAATTATATTCTGAGTTGATTCCATCCTATCCGTCCATCTGTCGCTCTGTGCGGTCTACCCATGTATTGTTTTGTTCCATCTACAGGACGTAATTTTTTCAGATATGCTAATCAAATTCAATAGATTAACATGGAGGAATCCCATTGAAAATGAAATAGAGCGGACGGATCGTAATAAGTTCATCTATAACAGCATACGGTGAAAAAGTCGCCTTTAAACATAATTAGCACTTTTAAATACTTCTAGATTAAAAAAACATAGAAAATATAAGAAAAGATTGTTTTGTGTGTGTAGGCGTGTGGCATAATAAATGAATGCGGAAAGTTCCTATTGAATGGACTCATGTTTAGATCCGCATTATAAATTTTGTAAAAAGCAAAACAAGCTATCTTATGATGAACATCGGCTCAGAGTATTGCTCTGATAAAAATTTACTTTAGCAAACGTGGTCAGCATTAGTCAACTCAGTCTCCGAATCAAAGGCCGTACAAGACTAATTTTCCTATTTATAAGGGCAGTCCCTGTCCTTCTTGTCGGCATTCATTTAAAAAAATAACCGTTTTATTAAAAAAATTTATTCAAGGATTCATTGACTCATGCTCTGCTTTACTAATCACCGCATCGAAAAATGTATTTTTGCGGACAATTCATCCCATTCCTTACTTCGACGTGAGTCGATTCATAATTCGTCCCTCATGGGTTGTGTGCCCAATATGAGATTGGAGAATCCGCGAACATTCTAGGTAGTCGGTCTTCTTACCTACCCGGTTACTCCTGTGGACATGGCGAAAGGATTCAGTTTTTAGTATTTCGTAATGAAAGCATATGAAGAATTGTATTAGACGCAGTTGCATAGGATATATAGATATATATCAGTTTTGGTCGCTTATAATGCTTTAAGTTGGATACATATGACACCTCTTCCCGTATATTGCTGTCTACACTTTCAAGCTTGTGAATGCAAGACAATCTTGCAGATATTGTCGGCCTGTTTTATTTGTGGATTTCGTAGAGCAATATACATTTATATATGAGTCGCGAATGTTGAATAAGTTTAGTATATTCTTATGGTGCCTTTTTGCGAAAAAGGAAATTCATGGTACATATGAATGCGGCCAGATCTGATCAATGTGTTCTTGAATGGTATAAATGCAAAAACTACAGAGAAGAAAATCTCATAAATTCAATGCAGAATTCATAGAACATTGAAAACGTTTAAATCACTTTCCAAAAATAAGCACAAGTCGAGAGAATGTATTCTATATACTTTTTGTATTTGTTCTCGAAATGTGAGCTACAAGTGCTAATTAACCAATTTGGAAATCCCTGCTGAATTCTTCATATTCTCAAGTGTTCTTAATTTTTATTTTTATTGAAACGTTAATGCTCTCTAACTATGGAAATTTTCGCTCATGAGCAGTGCATAGAAACTGAAAATTTAGCATAAATACAACATTATTGTTGTCAATATCTACGATGGCCAGCATTAGCATGCATTTGGAATGCATTTAAAACCCGTATAAAAACCATACTATCTAAAAGGGAATGCGGTGCATGTTGTTGAATACAAGTCTTGGTATTAGTGCATTTAAATATGTTCTAACTTTTAGTTCATATTATATAGAGGAGGAAACTCCATTGCCATTGGCATAAGGTAACGCGAACTATTTTCGTTTTAAGTTATTCGTATTGTAAGTTTGTGCTCATAGTGTAGCTGGAAGCTTTATATTTAATCGCTGTAACCAATATTTCCACAAAAAATTATATTGTTTGCAATACTATTACGATTCAGTTTGCTAGTTACCGTAGGGAGACATTTTACCTTTTCCAGTACTATTTACCGTTTATTATTTAAAGTTTAGGGTTTATATACCCATGAAGAACTATGTTTGCGGGTCTTAACAACTCTGTTTTCTAATAAAATTGATATTAGAGCGTTTTCTTTGGAATACCGAAATTTATATAAACTCGATCCGCCTGAGTAGCCGACGGCGAGGAATCTCGACTAGCAAATCAATGATCGTGAGTTCGAAACTCAAGTGGGGTAGAGTTTTTAATAAAAGCCGCTAGCCTTAGATGCTAGTGCTTTTAAGACTTTAGTCTTATAATTTATTTCTCTTGCGAAATTAATAATAATAATATATAAAATCGAACGTATGTATGTGTACTCGTAGACAGAAAAACAGGTGCGAGGTGTATTTTTCAGTTCTATGCCATTGAAATTATAAAAGATAGTTGCCACGCGACATTTTTACATGTTGCAAAATTAGTCAAAATTAATTCCTGGAACCCCACCTGAGTTAGTTCTTGCAGTATAAAGTTGATGGGTTTATTTATGCATACATATAAAGAGGAATACACACACATCACAACAGTGTCAAGAATGTTGATTAAATATCTCATACTTTAAGCACAATATCGCTTAAGCACTGTGTCAAGTACATTTCTCAAATTTCTCTCTTTCCCTTCCCGTTCTTCTTCTCCTTCTGTATTTTTGTCCTTTTTATTCGTTTACTAACTCAGTAGGTTCATAGCTCCAATGATGCCGTTATAATATTACGAGAAGTTAATTTACAAACATCCGGACGATTTCGCTGTGAAATATCTGGAGAGGCACCCTACTTTCAAACCATAACCCAATATGGAGATATGGTGGTAGTAGGTAAGTGTAAAATTTACGATCTAATTGATTTATTCAAATTTTTTTAACTTTTTTTTTATTTTTACATTAAATGCAATTGAAAAAAATTATACGCCACTCTTTATATATAACAATCGTTTTTCCGATAGAACAAGCAAATCATAATATGATGTCAAAGATAAATGCTTTGTTGTACGTGAAAACAAAAAATTTAAATAAAATTTATTGTATTCGAGATAAGTTAATAAAAAATTTGCGCAAAAAATATTATAACAAATATTTGCAGTAGTCTGTGGCTTATTGTCGGACAGAGAAAGAGTACTCCAGCTTATAGCGGCAAAGCAGTTGCTTTGATATATTTATATGAACTGCAAAGCAATGCAAATTTGAAAAAAAAAAAAAACGGATAAAAGGACTATAGCAGGCCGCGGTCAGTGATTTATTTAGTGACTATTCCATGTAAGGCGTTATAGGTGATGTGATCGAAAAGGATGTCCGATCCGAACCGTTTTCAATAGCGTTCATCCTTGTACCAAAATACGTTAGACTTCCAAATTTAGTCCAAATTTTCTGAAAATTGCCAGCCTATCGATTAGACAAGAAAAGTGGATAGATGGACAGACGGACACACAAGCTTGACTCGATTCAGAAAGTGATACTAAAGCGATCGGTGCAATAACAATTAGATCTATCTCAAGTCCCGGTGGGTGTTGCATGCATCCGCATTAACTTAACATACCTCTTAACATACCACAAGCGGTATTGGGTGTAAAAAATTATCTCCATTATAAAATAGTACAGCTGATGAAATTCTTAATTGTCGTAAGCGAAGCAAAGAATAGATTCAGAATGACTTACTTCCTGCATGTACATACCATTGCGGTACTACTGCCTTCATATTATAAATTGGATAACAAATCTAATGAATTTGGCTCGTACGAGCACAAAAAAATTCGAATCATAGAATTTGTAATTCATTCTTGTGTTCCGTTTTTCCTTTTTTTTCTTTTTTTTATTAATTCTACAGCGTATTACAAAAGAGAAAACATAAATATTTCGTGTTTTATAAATTGCTTTTTTCTGCGGCACCTTATGCACGCGCTAAGGACAAACAACATTTCACACTGTTTTCCAGCCTCTGACATTTTATGGGATTGTTTAAGTTATTGCTTTAAATGCTTTTCTGGTTTTTATAAAATTTATTTTTTCCATTTGTTTACGCTCGTTTGTCTAGCAGTAAATATTGTTATGGCTTTTCTGTGACAATCATGCGAATTCAAAAGGCGTGAACTGAATTTTTCGCATTTCGCAAAGCAACGACAATTTGTTGTAATATTTTAATTTTTTTAAAAACTGAGTTTTTCTTAAATCGGTGCAAATCGGTGCAGTAAAAATATCAGAAATATTTAGTTGCAAGTTCTCGTATTTCTATTCCTTTGCTTTTTCAATAATATCACTTATGTCTTTTTTCAGCTTTACCCGATCAGGGCCCGCCAAAGATCACTGGCGGTCGTCTTCGTTACCAAATCGGTGACTGGGTCCATGTAAATTGCACATCAGGGCGTTCCAAACCGCCGGTACAACTATCATGGTTTGTAAATGGTCAAGCCGCAGAACCTCAGGCATTGCGTAAATATAAAACTATCATTTCCGGTCGAGATGACTTCGAAACCTCTGTCTTGGGTTTGCAATTTCGTGTTGCACGACATCATTTTCGTAACGGCGATATGAAGCTTAAGGTGAGTGTTTTTCGGCAACGAAATTGTTAACATACATTTCGGAAGTGAAGCGAGCTTTAAAACTTATGGGGAAAACCGTTGGAAATATTTCAGAAAGTTTTTATTCCCTACATCACTTATGGTACAAGGGTATATTACGTTTTTGTGAATGTATGCAACGTCCAGAAGAGGTTGAGATAGATACATTTTTTATTATATTCATCGAACGATCCCTGTTTGTCCGTCTTTCGGACTTGTGTTCTGGTCTTAGGCCTATAGGTCGTAATTTTTGGGATTTGGATTGAAATTTGATATAGGACGAGCTCTATTGAAACTGCTTTGGAAAGACCACTCTTTGGACTATTTCCCATATATGAACTTATTTTGATAATTGTGTTAATAATTGCATTAAGCGAAGTAGTGTAAAGAGTTTAATGGCGGGCCATGTTTCTCTGCAATGAAGAATATGGAAAACACGTTCATAACTTGGCAGAATTCTTTTCATTCATTGGGCTAGTTTTGCCGGCGCACATGTGTTCATCATCAAGCAGAATAACATGACGAGTTCCTCTGTCCGTAAGTGATCGTTAATCCTCAAACGTGTTACTTAGTTTAACTAAGCTTGATATCGTTCCGATGCGAGCGTTTCATCAGGCTCCAGAAGTTTGTCATGCTTGGTTCCTCCAAAGCAGAAGAGTTTTCATTTTACTTGGTCCATTTTCAACACCTAGCAGTCTGCAAGAATTTCCAATAACAACGTTTACAAACGGCAACGCGCAGACAAAGAAATTTACAGACAGAGGGTCGTGCTTAAATCGATTCCAATTGGATTTCTCCCTTCTGTAATGGGTATATAGAAACATATTGGGCGCTTGCATATAGTTTGATCATTTTTCGACTTGAGAAAGGCATTTATTTATTAAGAAAAATTTGTGCAATCTATTATATATTAATCAAAATATTTTGCATCCTTGTCTACAACCTTTTTCCCATCTTGGTGGCAATATGGCGATACCATGTCGAAAGAACATGGTCATATCTTCGAAAGAACGATATTGGTTCGTTTTCCTTGACAACTCTTTCAATATGTGACCGAGCATTATCAAGCAAGAGGAAGATTTTTCGTTTCTTAACCGCTAGTCTTGACCTTTTTTGCAACAACAAATCGTTCAATTTGGTTAATTCACGTCGGCAGATATCTGCATTATTCCGGTTTAGCTGCTGGTAATAACCTACACCCTGCTGATCCCACCATATGTACAGCAAAACGTTATGGTCGTAAATATTTCGCCTCGGTGTGGATGTGCATGGCTCTCCTGCACTAACACATGCCTTTTTGCGCATGGGATTGTCGTAATGCATTCCTTTTTCATCGCCGCTCACAACACGCTACAAAAAGCACTTCTTTTCTTGCATGGCAAGCAATGGAAACAAATCAACGAAAAGAATGTCGAAAAAGCAAATTTGCGCTTTTCATGATTAGTCTCGTAGCGGCGTAGATGTACTTGGAGAAAATACATACAAGCACTTACTACACCACAGAGCAGCTGCTTCCACATACGTCGTATAATGCATATAATAATAAATTCATAATTTCGTATATTTTCGTAGTTCGTCATCGACAATTATTTATGTTATAATAAGTGCGCAGCAAAGTAATTGGCTTTCACACATGGGGGACGCAAATGGCACGTGCAACAGATATACATGTATGCAGTTATGTTTTTGTTATAGCATCTGTTAACAATAAGTAGTCGGAATACCAACACAGAAATATTTTTTGTAATACCGAAAATGTCGGATTTTGTGCCAAAGAAGCAGTATTTGCTTTTCCGCTTTGCTTTTCCGCTTTGAAACGGAAAGTAGTAGTGTCTCCACTTTATATGGTCTCTGATAGGCTTCTTTGGATGTTACAAACGGAAGAACAAACTTGTAATCTACATATGTAGTTGGTTATAAGCATAATGACATATTTATATTATTTAGGCTAGAGAATTAAATTCTTGAGCTAAAGAAAGGAAAAGAGATGTGAAGCAGTAGCAATTGAAGCAATTGGTTGGGGTTAAAAGTTGGCAAAGACTTCTTGATTTTTGTTGTGTTCTGTTAACGGATTCTTCCAACACGATCTTCATAAATAAGGAGCCACTTTAACACTCCGTAGGTACATGCTTTCTATTGAACGGTTTTGCTTACAATTGTAACTTGAGAGAAAACATTTTTTTTGAATGTGTGTTGGGGGTAGTTGTAGTAAAATACACCTAACAAACTTTTGAATATCATTTTTTTCATTTCCGTTTATATTTTCATTTTCATTTTCATTTTCAGTGCGTTGCTTCCTTGTCGACATTTTATTGGCGTAGCAATGAGGAATCAGTACAAGGTGGTCCTACGTTGGAATCACGTGCGACTTTATATGCTAACAATACCCGGGCTGATCCAGTGCAAGATATATCATTAAAGGAAAATTCTGTAACCAAAATTCTATCGTATTTCATTCAACAAAAGGCAGCCAGTACAACAAACTCCAAATTTTCAATTAAATCATCAAATTTAATTATCCTACTGTGCACTACTTTAATAACAACATATAATTATTTGGACCATTTGCTTAGCTTGAAACTAAACTGTGTCAAGTTGGTGAGAAAAATTTTACAGAGTCAAAAATTATTTATATGTCGCCGCTATGAGCAAATCCATAGTAGTCTAAGTCAGGAAATTCATACCATTGCAGAGGATAAGCATCAAATAGAATTCAATGAGAAAGCTTTGGAAACGTTGCTCTCCTGACAAGACGTTTATTAGACAGTAAAACAGTCTTCAAGTTGCAAGCGCGTAAGTTTATATTTTAACATCAATACAGTTTCCTAAAGATATGGTTGTCTACAATTGTTTTCCTTGCATTTACGTTTACTTTTTGCTTAACTTCTACAAAATCCAGAGTTGAGATTATTTTCAAGCGTTAGTACATTAATTTTCTTAAGACAAAAATACACTTTTCATACTTTTTCTATCATTTTACCATTAGGTTTGTAACAACCGAAGAAACTCCTATGAGGAGCGGAGGTTAGATTGTGAACACAAATCCTTTCTCTATCCATCCGTTTCCGCATTTTTCTTTTTGGTCGTATAACTTAAGATATGCTTCTAGGACTCACGTACTCATGTAATGAGCTTACTACCATCTTGTGTCTGATCCGTCCATAAAGGTTTATAAACAACTGAAAAACTTAAAAAATTTCTATCAGATATCAATATAATTACTCACCGATCTTTGTAAGAAATGGTGTTACTTTGCCTGCGAATAATTTTTTCGTACTATCTTGAAGCCATAGGCAGCAGCGACAACGACATAACATCATTTTTGAGGAACTTTTAATAAGTCGTTCAATAAGTGCTAAGAAAACGACTTACATGAAGGCGTGATTCTTTCCTTTTTTATTCAAAGCAAGTGTTTCTAAATCGTGATCAGTAATGAAGAACGCATCCTTTGGTCATTGTTACGATAGCCGGAGAGAAAATGTGAATGGTCGAAGCCAGGTAGGTCTGATATGTTATGAATTATATGGCTATTAATAACAACTAATGCGATTGGCCCCAAACTCGAACGCATTATGTCAAGAATGACTTTACGTTAATACCATTGAACTGATATATGTTATTACATCCATAGTATTCTGGAAGTTATTTCTTATGATTAACAACGGTTTCAATCGACAACTGATCGCCAGTTCAAACAGCGCTCCCATCCTTATAAAGACATAACTTTTTAGATAGCTCTAAAAGCCGCTAAAGAGTACAGCTTAGTGCAAATATTATTTCAAGTTTGTCTAAAACGAACTCTTAACTAGTGGACACGTCTATAAACGAATACTCCACAGATTTTGCTTATAAGGTTGGAGTGATGAGTTTAAAAACTTGCCACTCACTATGTAATATAAAAAAAGTGAAAACAATATAGCGAGGTACGGCTATTATAAACCACCCTACACCATCTTATGATTATTTATATAACGACTTTTCTTAAACTAAGGCATTGTATGAGAAGTACCGGAAAAACTAATCCGATCCGAATCATTTTAATAAGATTCGCCCTTGGAGATGAACAGGTCAGTATACTGGTGTACGTCGAAATATCTCAAAAAATGCGACGTATAGGTTGAGCCCAAGAAAACAGGATAGACAACCTTAGAAAGTGATGCTAAATCGATCGGTGTAATAATAGGTGGATCCATCCCTTCAGTCCTTCTGGCTATTACATATGTCTATAACTACATATCGACACAAAATATTTTTATGACGAATTGTTTTACGCAGTAATTGATCGGGTATGTAAGTGTACATGACACGACTGCCATGCTATTTTTAAACTTTCATTTATTTATTTACTAAGTATTTTAATAAAAGAATGAATCCTTTTGTAAATTTATTATAAAATAAAAACATATCGTGAATTTCACTTTATCGGCAAAAGTGTTTATGTAACGTTATATTAATTAAGGAAAAATAAATAAACAAAACCAAAAGCGAAATTTGTGTAAAAGATGTTAAAAAAGAAAAATCAAAAGTGTATTAAAACAAATTTAAAAAAATTTAAGAATGTATATGTATGAATGTCTGTAAGTAAAACTTTGATTATTAATTAAAAAAATTCCATATTAAAATGTTAATAACTTAAGTCTTAGCTAAGAAAGAAAGTTTCTTTTAAAAACTTTACTTATTAACCGTTTTAGTGTAAAATAAATGTTATTTTATTAAAGGGAAAAATGTTATTTTAAGTGTTCGCATTAGGGCTAACCTTCGATAACCATCACCCATCACTCATCACTATCCACTATAATTGCAAGGTATAGGTATTTAGGTCGACACAATTCTTGCACAGCTCTCTTCGTTTATTCTAAGATATGTTTATACCGCAATTCCAACGGTTATTGCTATAAGTTACAGTCATATGCCGCGTTAGTAGAACTATAGCAACTATTTTTTTTTTACAAAATTTCAGATTAATATCCTAATATAAAAAATTGCAAATTAAAGCTCTTTGCTTATTGTGCGCTTGTGAGAGGTTAGCCCTCCTTTCCAAAATTCTTTCATTCTTAAACAAAAATCACGCAGGTAGACAGACACAAAGACGGAAAACATTGAATCAACTCAGAATTTGTTCATGAGCAAACGTATTTCATGCCAATGAATTATATATATTTGATAGATACGTCTGCGAGTTGCGAGTCAAACCAAAAGACACAACTAGTACATCGCCAACTTTTACCGTTGAAGTCAAAAGGAACTTTTTTGTTATCAAATGTGAAGAGCAAGCAATTTTCCATTTGCGCCGAGTACATGTATTCTAATAAACATGGATTTCTCAAGCGATTGAGCCATGATTTATTGCTGGAACTTAAAGTTGTCATACAGGCGATGTTGGAAAATGGGCACAATCCGTCTACATAGAGATTACAACTGAAAAGAACCTAAACGTACATGCAGAGTTGATATTAAATATTGTTCGTAGATGGTAAACTGTCGTATGAAAGTTCCAGTTTGGTCAGTTGAAACAACTCGAAATCTATTCCATGTGTAATCTACCCTAAGGGATTTACCAAGCAGGTGTCGTAGATTCAATTAAATCTTACATGAGAAAACGTCATTTCAAAATATGGTTTTCAGCTCTAACCTCCCCATTAAGTTTTTTAAATTTCTGTTGCAAGCCCAAAAAAACACCTAGACTTCAACTTTGCCAGTGAAAAATCCACAGATAAGAAGTCAATATGTTTTTATGGTTTAGACGATAGCCTGCAATATGTCGACAAATGGGATGAAAGGATAACTTGGAGTGTATAGCAAATTAATAAGAAGGAGCTGGTGATGGGTGGTAAGAAATTCGACCCAAATCAAATATAATTTCTGAATTATTTTATAAATTAGCTTAAGTGTCCAGACATAAAAAACACGCTCCATGGGACGAACATAATAATTGCATATGCAATAATTACATATTTTTCCTATCACTACTATTGCGGATTATAAAGAATGCTTTCGTAATCCATTCTTATGGGGCGCGCTTTGAGTGCTTATACGCGAATAATTTTCTTTCGTTTAATTTTTTTTTTTTTTTTTGTTTTGTTTATAAACTTTGTAAAATACAATTCTCTCTTATTGATCTAAGAAATTCGAATCCAAAAAATCAAATATTAAAAATTAAATCAAGTTCGAACTGCGTGATACGCCTGTACATTAAAAACAGTCCATACAACACTTTTCTTAATTACTGGATATATTCTATGTAATCAAATAAAAATAGACCAATTGCTATAAAAAATGGAATCACAAAAAGAATAAAAAAGAATTAATACTAAATATAAATAAAAAGTCCTTTAAGAAGAAATGTTAAAAAATATTTAAAATAAAATGTATAAATTTTTTCGTTTCATTTTATTACACAGATCCAATCAAAATTTCGCTTTTAGAAAAATATTGCTTCGAAATCATTATATCTATTATCTACTTTCTAATCTGGTGTTTTCAAATGGTTTTTAATCATCGCATCTTATAACGTAATTTGCGCAGTCTTTGAAACTTACTCTAATGAAATCGTATTACACACAGAGGATTCAGTAATGCTTGCAGAGCGAAATTGAATATTTGAAACTGTCTTCCTTTTAATATTGAGTTATTATTGACACGTTTCTGAGCAAGGGCTAGAACGTTGACAGTAATTCAAGGATAAACATAGTTTGTCAACTATTTTGATAACATTGTCCTTATTTCGTCTGTTTATGATACAAACCTTTCCTTTCTCTTCCACTTACATTTCAATTTTATATATGATATATTAACATACAGCCGAAAGAAAATCACCACCAAACACCGAAGAGAAACATCGTGAAATATGCCTATTTACGCTTTTACAAGATCGAATGATAGTTTAACAAGGAAGCTTAACACTGTTTATTCAAAACTTGATGTTGGCTTAATCTGTTTAATGTTGTATTCACTATCACGGAAAATGTAATCGGAAACAAATAAAAACACTATGGCAGAACATGGCCAGCTATCAAAAACCCTACACTCCTGCGCTTAGTACATTTATTCGTATTCGTATTTATTCGTATAGCGAATTTTTAAAAAAGGTGTTATAGGGGAATCATTTTCAATAACGTTGGCATTTTGACCAAAGCACATAAGTATACCAAATTTCATCACAACATTACAAAACATTTCAAACTACAGATTTAACACAAGAAAACAAGACAGACAGACGACCAGACAAGCTTAGAACGATTAAGAAAGTGATTGAATCGATCGGTATCGTAATAGACGGGATTACCTCAGACCCATGTAGTGTTGTCTATATCCGATTAATCGTAGCATACCCTTGTACCGAACGGAATATAGGGCAGAACAAATTTTGTTTGTGAATAATCTGTGGAAGATATCGAATAACAATTTGATAAAAATCGTCGCTTTACTGAGCTACTGAGAAGCTTGATTTCGTTATATGTATGCATACGATGACGGACAGACAAAGCGAATGCAATTTTCTGTTTTTTCACTTCCGCAACCAGTGTAAATGGCAAAAAATGCAAGAGAAGAAGTTGAGTGAGTAAAGTAATATCATCCCCAAATGATTTATGCGTTATCTCCACCATTGCGTGGCCCAAATATATAAAGTTACTTACATTTTTCTGTTGATATTGCATAAAGTCAACAACAATAGTATTTGGGAAACAAATATATTGCATTGCCACAGTTGGAATGCGAAAGGAATAAATTAACTGCTTCACGTGCATTTATTGGAGATGACATTTGAATGGCAACCGTAATAGATCTTCACTAGAGCTTTCAGAAATTTAAAATACGTGGCTGGAACTTTTAGCTGACAATGCAATGCATATGAAAAGTGAAAGGACTTTGCTTTATCAGCAATGCGATATTGTATTCATTGCAGTGGAAATATGTTTATCTCATACTTTGATGTCATCAAAACGTGATATTTTTGGATAAGGTTTCCGTGTTTGTTCATCTTACAAGATGTTGATATTTATTGCACGCTATTACATTCGCCGTATATATAGAAGAATCACTTTCAAGTTTTATCTATTTTCTATGATTTTAAAGAATTCTGCATTAGAAACAACCATCCATTCTGTTTTAATTAATTTTGTAGGAATTCGTTGATTGAAAAAATAGGAGAAGATTTGCTTATATTCGTGGACACAACAACCGATTTCCTAGATAGCCAGTATTAAAAAAAAAGCTTAACAAGCCGACACGACATAACATTCTAACACGAAAAAGTACAATATTGCAAATCACGTTGGAAGTGAGCTAAAAATCTGAAAGAATCTACCGCATTTTCTAGTATCATTTCAACCAAGACGATAACGCTTGGCAGCCTTACGCATATATTCTTGACGTTTATCGAAAGGATGTCTTATCAATGTCAATATATTACACGAATGGCTTCCCCGCTTTACTCTGCCGTACTGTGGTTAAATAATCGTCTATAAAATAGAAGAAATTCTTCCCAAAATTGAACAAGGCCGACCTATTCCATCTTACCGCATAGTATAGTTTTATAGCTTAGCTTTGCCCCATTTGCAGAAGGCTAGATACAATAAAATGCTTTGTCTTTGGGTAGCGAAGGAATTAATAGTGAAAAATTCTGCTAGTCGCTGCGTGAAGTGAAATAAACGAACGAACAGCGAACGGTAAAAATTAGGCAAAATTTGATAATAAAATGCGAAAAAGATAGCTGTTGGGTGAAGGA